AAATATTATATTTAGTGTTTCGCTAAGTTCAATCATTGAATTGAATATCTTCTGGTATATTATATCCACTCATTATTGATTTTTCCTTCTTTTGTGTATACACTTTCTCACATACGAGAATAATTGTGTGCCAATTGCCTAGGTCATTTCGATTAATTCGCTTGTTAATGGCCAACACATAAATAAACAAAACTCGCCCAAAACGTTGCGCATACACATCACAAGTCGCCTTTCATTCGTTCATTGACCATTGACCATGTGGAATACGGAGGACATTAATTTGCTGAGTGGCGGATTTGCTCAGTCAATCTACCGTCGATTCTTTCAGTGTACTGCCTGGCTGCTCTATGGCATTGCGCGTGTTTGTCATTTCCTCAAGCTGCGCTACAATGCAGAGCATATGCGCATGGAGGAGATTCAGTATCATCATATGATCTCGAAAATAGTCGTGACGGTTAAATTTGTATTCGTATTATTGGATCTGCAGAGTTATTTAGTACTCATCCTAGTCTTATGGCTACATATTTTTCGAGTCGAGAACAGCGGCGGACAGAACTATATGATTGGTTTGCTCGTCCAGGGTCTTATCATATCGGACCTACGCCGCATATTTATTTTTTTGCATTCATTCGATGATCGAAAGTTGATCAAGCATATAATCAATGAAATCTTCTATATCACACAAACTATAAAACGCAAGTTCGGCATGATATATCACTTCGAAATGTGTCTATTGTGCGTATACTCTTCCAAACTGTATTTGGTGTACATAATGCTAGATTCCATGTGGTATCATATGACATTTATTTGGATTAACTTCCTATATTGGCTGCTCCTCGAGTACTGTATTCTTGGCTATTTCATCTATCAGTTGATTCTACTCAACTGGTATCGTAATTTTAGCTATTTCTTGCAACGATTTCTCGAGTACAACCGCTATCAGAGTTGCATATCTGCTCACTACCATGGGCGGCTGTTGTGGCTCTTCAAACTGCACTTACGCATCATTAATCTGCATAAGTGCATCCAGGAGAGGGTCGCCTGGTTGCCTGCAGCGATCTACTTGACAATATTCACGAGTATTTTCAATATGACTTTGTTGCTGGAGTGCATTATCTATTCCGACGATGAAATCGAAGACAAAATGTATATCATTGCTGATGGTAGCCTCGGGCCGGCTTTGATACCAATTCTCAACGTGCTCGTCGTTGGCATCTGCACAGATCGCATACGCAGCGAGGAGTCGGCATTGCAGCAACAAATTATACTCGCTAATATTTTGTGTGTCCGCAAGGCCGATCCAAACGATTTTCGCCTAAAGGTTCTGAATAATGAGGTGAGTTACGAAATACGCTTGATGTCAGCATATAATATATTTCCACATGATTACAGCACACTGCTCTGATTGTTCATCAGAAATTGGAGCCATTGCATAATGTGATTATTTTGCATACAATCGGCGATCGGGAATTTGCCTTTGATTACTTCCTGACAGTGATCGTAACTGCTCTCTCCTTTATACAGTACACAGTGTCCACAAATCGTGTTTACAAAGTGTGCGTAACACACAAGTAATGCAAAAAAATAAAATTAAAACATTCATATTTATAAACACAAATATTTTATAACAAAGTTTTTGAAATATCCCAGACGTGCATTAATTCTACATGAATTCTACATTTTTCTTCATATTCCTTCCACTAGCTAAACGCTTAGCAAAAGTCCATGAACAACTTGCTGAGCCCCAAAACTTTTTATAAATTTACACTCAATAACAGCAACCGCTCAATAACATTCAACAGTCACGTGCCGATTCGATATTCAATGTCTTCACAGAATGAAAAATACTAACAACATTTTTGATACATTTTGCTGGTATATTGAAATTTATTTTTATGCAACCAACCCCGAGAGCGAACGTGTGTTGCTCTCAACCTACACACAGCCTACACCCACGCCAGACGATAAAATAATAATCGATTTGACTCTGGTTGGAGTTTTTTACTTTTCCACTCACTCGCTTACTCACTCTTTCGCTCTTTTGGTTTCAAAAAAAAAAAAAAAAAAAAGCCCACAACTCATCCGAGCCGCCCCCCAAAAGCAGCGACAAGAAGCAAAAAAAAAAAAAAAAGAAAAAAAAGTGGAGCTCTGGCACTTCCTGCTGGGAATCGATTTTTGTACATTTCCCAAACTGCGATGCTACCGAAATTTATGCGAATTTGAATTTGATATGGTTAAACTGTTTGCCTAGGCAGCGTCAGCCATGCAAATGGTTTGATAAGAGAGCAGCAGCGAGGTGTGCATGGGGCCATGGGGGCGTATTGTCGGCTGTCATTGTGCCTAGCTTTGTCGCTTTTTAGTGTAAAATTAATTTGCTATAATTCATCAATGGGCCCAGCCAAAGGATTATTTTGCATAAAAAATTGTGGCACTTGTCGATTTTTGCATAGTCTGCTTTTGGTAACAAGTAGCAGCAGGAGCGGCAGTAGCAGCAGGAGCGGCAGCAGCATCTGTTAGGCAAGCGGTTGGGCTCTGATAATAGCGAAGAGGGAATGGAAGGTGGTCCATTTGGTGTGTGTAACTGACGCACTTTGTGT